CAAATGCTCATTTTCTATAGGCTCAACTTAAAGGTTTTTAGTTGTTGGATAGGAGGGAAAGGTTCCTTTCTCTCTAATCTTATATGTCTCAAAAAAAAAAAAAGAAAAAAAAAGAAAAGGAAAGTACAAAGTGGCAGGAAAATATCAGAAATGAGATCAGAAAAAGGAAGACTTCTCTTTTTATGCTCATGGTGAGTTATTGAGACAAGTTGCTCATGAGTCATTACTCTCAGCCTGGAAGGGTGAGAAAGGAGAATCTAAGATTGCCTCCTCACTGGCGAAAGGTTAGACCAGAAAGGAAACTGAGGCTGAACAGGCTCCACATTCCCTCTGGGGTGTAGAAAGGTGAATCAGGCCCAGTCTGTCTCAGTGAAACCTGTCCCCCAAGTCTTAAGAATGTCTTTTAACTGGTGGAAGGGGGTCCTGTGATTTATTAATAGGCATGTATATTTCTAAATATAAACTAGATTTTCTAAAAAGGCCCAATTTACAGCATTTCACATTAAAGTCCACCAGGGGGCACTCCAATGCTTACTTTTTCCTAGCACTGTTGTCCAAGATAACAAACCAAAACAGTCCAATAAGTGAAAAAGGTCAAGTAAGGAACACCAATAAATTTAGCAATTAGCCCAAATGCAACAACTAAATTTCACATTATTTTAACAGAAGACAATGCATCACAAAGGACAAGGCCGAAGCAGTTGGCAAAGACAAAGCAGAAAAATTTAAAAGCATATGTAACTAACAAGGATAACAATTTTTAGATTACTTAAACCAGTCACAATCCAGGATTTATGAAAGCAAATTAACACCTGTCCAATTATTTTGGTGGGACCTCCAAGTGATGCAGGGCCTATGATGTATGGATGACATATGGACTTCCAAATCATATAAGGCAAATATTGTAACTCCCAACCTTCTAGATGTTCAGTACGTTGCGTCTATGTTCTCTAAAATCAAAGAATAAAAGAGCAGGAAGAATTTATTGAGAGAGACAGAAGGGGGCCCAGAAAGTGGGTTGCCTGTGGATCCTGCTCCTCAAGGAAGTTTTATAGAGCAAAACTACGAGGTGAGGTGGGTACAAGGTGGGGCAAAACTATAGTCAACCAATAAGATTACGGGTATAGTCGCTCAGGTAATATTGATTAAACGGGGATCAGACGGGGAAGCAAATCATGTAGCAAGTGTAACAGGGAAGGAAGCAGGATTTTCCAGAAAGGAGTGGGCTGGGAGGTTTGGTCCCTCACCCAAGGTGATCGATGCCTTTTTAGACTATCGCTCACTGCTGTTGCTCCCTAGGGGAGTATGTGGGAGTAGTCCTTTCTCTTTGTCTTTAACAACGAGTGCGCCTCCAGCCACAGTTGTAATAATGTCCTGTCCCGGGTGCTGCCAGGGCTCAGAGAGGTGAGCTGAGGCTGCTTCTGGCCCTCCCCGTCCTGGCTGCCACACCGGTGTCGCACATGTCCACCTGCACGATGGAGCACGGCCCACCCGGCCCACTGTGCCTCCCTTGCTCCCCTCCATCTCAGGCCGGGCTCCGCAGCAGCACCTGAGACGGAGATTGTGTGCAGCCCGTGGCTCCCCGTCCCCACGGGCTTCAGCCAGGGGCGGCTCTGCTCTGAGCGCTGCAGGTGGGACGGCTGCAGAGTGGCCACCGAGGAAGAGCCGGTGCCCGCAGGGCCGGGAAGGAGATCTGAGGGTGGG